TGTAGTATACGATATATAATTAATTTCAAATCACACAGAACCTGCATTTTCATTAGAAGAGCTGCCGACATGCATGGGAGAAATTCCTACAGATTAAAATAGTACTAAAATGATTAGATAATCTTTTGTAGTTTTTCAAAAAAAAAAAGTTAAAAAGAAATAATCTTGGGTGGCCCCTGCCACTGGGTTCGAAATTGGGACGCGTTTCATTCCCATGCACTTATGAACGGACACGGGACATCATTGAACCAATCACTTTTTTTAGTGGCAGATGGTTGGCCGTATTATAATTGATCAAATCGATGAGCCCCCAAGTAATGTGGATTCATTCAAAATTAGCAAAAAATATGAATATTAAGAGAATCCCCATATATGCTGCATGCGAGTGCGACAAAGCGAAAACCCAGACAAATTGATGGCCGCATTTAATATTGGCCGTATTTTTTTTCCCCCAACAATATTGGCTGTATTATTCTTTATATTTGCAAGTATTCCATGCCTTTTTATATGAAATATTCTCTTTCATAATGATGTTTTTAAATATAAAAAACAAATACTCTTGTAAAAAATTTTAAACTTGTATTTCACTTTTACTCTAATTAAATATATGATACTTACTATCCATTTGTAATAAATGTCCACTCATTATTTCTCACAAATAAGAACATAGTTATAAAAATATATATCTTTACAAGTTTATTATTTTTAATTAAATTTACTTAATATTTTGAACAGAAGTAGTTATTTTTCATAATGAAAAAAAGGAGGGAGTAATAATTTAATAATTAATGATTCATCATAAACTCTCGTGCGTAATCACCGGTTTTCCATTAAAAAAATAATATTAGATTATTTGTTCTGTTCCTATGTATTTGTCCTTATTCCAATTTCTATCTTGTCCTCGGATTTTTTTTTAATCTTTTATATTTATAGAGTTACTTACAAGTTATGAAGTAAACTCTTTATCTTTATCAACCGGACAAATTTTCATATGTGTTTAATTTTTTTTAATTTTAATGAAACATATTAAAAATATCTTATAAATAGAATAAGAAGAATATATAACATTAAAAAAATCAAATACAGAACAAATAAATATATTGGTCCATGACACACGCGGCACACGCAACTATTGAGGCAAGATGTGACCGCATGTGTAACTAATAAAAGTTAGTTTGGTTAGTAAGGAGTTGTCATAAAGTTATGAGTCCGAATTTTACTTATGAGTGATTTATAAGTACCTCTAAATGTGAATATGTGTTCTAATTCTAGTAAGCTCTTGAAACCTAAGTCCACTTATTAAAAAAAAAGATATATATAAATATATGCATACACCCACAAATAAAAATTTTAAATTAAAAAATGTATATGTGTATATAGATATATTACATTACATATTACTATATTTGGGATAGAATGTGATTTCGAATAAGGTTTTGTCCAATCTCATCTTGAATAAGTTTTCATGCTGTTTTAGCCAATTGAGACGAGACACACTACCTCCAATTCTAATTATAAGATCTCGTTTATAGATTATAAACGAGATTTTATAATTAGGACTAAAAGTAGTACATGAACCCGCCTAGGTCAAAGCAGCAGCACATCGTGGACGGGAGGAATTGACTTTTTGATCACGTGGTAGGAACAATTTCTGAAGACTAGAAAGTCAGAAAGGGGCAGAACTAGCATCTCTGTTTTCGTTGTTCCCCTTTTAATGCATTTGCCTCGTTGAACTTAGGGCAGGTATCGTTTGCAAACAAGCAGTTTAGATAGAGTCCAACTTTTGATTGATATAAGACATTCTATTCTTCTTGTGATTAAATCCAATCTCTTAGTCCCCATGAAAAGGAAAAAGAATTTTACCCTAAAAGCAGGTTAATTTTAACAGCAAACACAGTAACAATGAAGATGAGAGAAAGGAAAGGAGAGAAAGAAGGGGGGAAGATAGCAAGAAAAAGAAAGAGAAGCAAAATAAATAGAAAGAGAATAAAAAAAAACTCAATATCTGATACTATTCAATTGATAATCAAAAACAGTATAATACATAATTAAAATAAAATAGCATTGTAGGTTATAATAGTTGACAATCTCTGTATTTAATCTTCAAATCACAACATTAATTTATAAATTTTTTTTATTATTTGTAAATATTATAAAATCTTCAATCATTCCTCTCTGTCTTTTTTGTATGGGAGAAATACAATAAGGTCATAAAAAAAAATAATTACAAAACAAATCCTAAAAATTATCATTTTTTTATTATGAAACTTGTGAACTTGTGATTACCTGCGTAGATTGTTATTATTAGAACTTTTTATTAATTATCTTTTTTTACTTGGGACCTTGTTATAATTCTCTCCTTTTCCAAGTTCCATCATGCAATATGTGAGTTTAAGTTATTATCATAGCCATGGTTCAGGACATCAACAGCTGAGTTTGAGGTTGGAGATTCAGACTAATATTATAATACTCACCAAATCTCAACTATTGAAATTTAATATGAACAGCTAAAATTTAATATTAATATTTTTTATTATTTAAAAATATTTTTTAATAGGTGCATAATTCAAAATAAATATAATATCTTAATTATAATTGTTTAAAAAGTAAATTTATTATGGCCATGGTTCAGGACATCAACGGCTGAGATTGAGGTTTGGAATGAGTATCAGCCACCAAGCATTGAGTCCCAAAGTCAGAGTGGCGATGTACGCACTTTAATAGAAAGCACAGCCAAAAAATAATAATATAATATAATATTTTAACTATGTGGAGATTCAGGACTAATATTATAACACTCACCAGATCTCAACTATTTAAATTTAATATGAATGGCTAAAATTCAATATTTAATATTTTTATTATTTAAAAAATATTTTTTAATTGGTACATAATTCAAAATAAATATAATATCTTAATTATAAGTTTTTTAAAAGTAAATTTATCATGGTCATGGTTCAGGACATCAACGACTGAGATTGAGGTGTGGGATAAGTATCAGCCACTGAGTACTGAGTTCCAGAGTTAGAGTGGGCGCGTTAAAAGTGGACCCACTGTACACACTTTAATAGAAAGCACAGCAAAAAATAATAATATAATATAATATAATATAATATTTTAATTATGTGGAGATTCAAGACTAATATTATAATACTCACCAAATATCAACTATTTAAATTTAATATGAATGACTAAAATTTAATATTTAATATTTTATTATTTTAAAAAATATTTTTTAATAGATACATGATTCAAAATAAATATAATATTTTAATTATAAGTTTTTTAAAAGTAAATTTATCATGGCCATGGTTCAGGACATCAACGACTAAGATTGAGTTTGGGATAAGTATCAGCTGCCGAGCATTGAGTCCTAAAGTCAGAGTAGGCGCGCTAAAAATGAAGGGTTTCCATTGGGTGCTCATCAGGTGATGAGCACCCAGTGCTCATCACCTGATGAGCAATCTGGACCGTTCAGATTAGATCTAGATGATCCAGGTTTAATATTATTAAATAATTATTTTAAAATAGAAAAAATTATATTTTAAAGAATGATAGTTAAGAGATTTTTATTTTTTATCCTATACTTATTAAAATAATTATTTTTTAAAAATAAAAATAAAAATAAAAATAAATCTGGACAGTCCAGATCTGATGAGCATTGGGTGCTTATCAAAACTAACAAGCACCCAATATAAATCCATTGAAACTAATTTAAAACGGTTTAGATTTTATTGTAGTGATGAGTATCATGATACTCATCGCTAAGATTAGCATTGAAACTCATTCGGTGGAGATTCTCCATTTTTTAATTTCTATTCACATTAACGAGCCTACATCGATTGTGACAGGATGAATAGCGGAGTAGCATTTATAAGCAACAATTTTTTTATAAATAATACTCTCGCTCATTTTTATTATAAATTTTAAATAACTAATTTTTATATAATAAAAAATAGTTAAAATTACTAATTATTAAATAAAAATATAATTTTATTTTTAAATATGTTTTTTATAAAAATAGGAAAAAAATAATAAAAGAGAATATATAAGAAAATATAACAAGAGTATAAGTAGCATATGAGAGAGAATAAATAATTAAGAATAAATTTAAAAGAATATACTACCTCCAATCTTTAACATAAAAGTTTGTTTGACTTTTATTTTAATCCTAAATATAAAACCCCAATCCATTTTGTCTCTCATATTTATTCATTTCTTTTCAAGATAGTCCTTATAATAATGATAGTTTTAGCCAATACAATTGATTAGTAATAATATTTTAAGAAAGACAACACCTATTTATTACAAATAACTAACTTAAATAGTTTTCTTAATCTACTCAAATTAGTCAACTAGTTTTTATGTTAAAGACTGGAGGTAGTATTAAATATTAAAACAAACCTAAATTAAAACTTATAAAACTCTTTTTGAAGTTGAAAGTTTGAAACTAATAAGAGGGAAATAATTAATAATAACAAGTAGCAAGACATAGCTAGGTCTGCTTTTAGTTCTAGTTCTACTCCTCCGGTCATTAATATAAGACTCATTGAACTAATTTGATTAGATTAAAGAAGTTAAGTAAGTTAGTTAATTATAAAAAATATGACATGTTTTTCCTAAAATACCATAATCATCTTTCTTAATACCCCTTCTTCCTCTTCTACTTGATTATCGTTGAGAGAATATCTATAGGGGTAATTTAGAGAAAATTAATAAATATGATAAATGAGTCTTATATTTAGACTAAAACTAACTTAATAATTGAGTCCTGTCTTTAATACAGGATGAGTAATTTGTTATGCACTCCTCCATCTTCACTTCCGGACGGAAATAGAATAAAATAAAGCATGCGTACAACATATACCAACGCACACACCCACCCACCATCACCTTAGCTCTCCAGTTTTTTTTTTGGGCAAAAGCTCTCCAGTTTATCTAAGCTTGTTAAATAGGCCTTTCCCCTTCGTTACCACGCCATCGAAGGAAGAGCAAGAACAATGATACTTCAGGCGCTTCTCAAACATTTGCCCTTTGAGCTAAACCCCACCTTGTACGTCTCTCTCTTCTGCTTCATCATCCTCATCTCTGTGCTTATCAAACTACATAGAACCACAAGAAATGAGCCCAATCTTCCTCCATCCCCACCTAAATTTCCATTTATAGGCAATCTTCATCAGCTTGGTATTCTGCCTCACCGTTCCCTCACAGCTCTCTCCCACAAGTATGGCCCCCTCATGTTACTCCGATTCGGTCAAACCCCAACTCTGGTGGTTTCTTCCGCGCACTTTGCCAGAGAAATAGCAAAATCCCACGACGTCGTTTTCTCCGATCGGCCTCAAACCACCGCTGCAAAAATACTTCTCTATGGATGCAAAGATGTGGGTTTCTTACCCTATGGTGAAGAGTGGAGGCTCAAGAGGAAAATCTGTGTTCTTGAGCTTCTCAGCCTCAAAAGAGTTCAGTCCTTTCAGTACATCAGAGAGGAGGAAGCTGCGAACTTGGTGGCTAAGATTCGTCAAGCATGTGGTCAGCTTAATGATAGGCTGTCCGTGAATATGTCTCAGATGATTATTGCAACTTCAAACAATATTGTGAGCAGATGTCTTCTTGGACAGAAGTTTGATGCAGCGGATGGTAAAAGCAGTTTTGGGGAAGTAGCGAGGAAAGTGATGGTTCAAATGGCAGCTTTCAGTTTCGGAAACTTCTTTCCCTCGTTGAGATGGATGGATGTTGTTACCGGATTGATTCCAAAGCTGAATGCTACGTTTAGAGAATTAGATGCTTTCTTCGATGATGTGCTCGCTCAACATAAAGCAGCTGGAAGGAGTGAATCAGATGAAGATCACAAGTCAGAAAAGAAAGACTTTGTTGATATTCTCCATCAACTTCAACAAGACGATCTGCTAGACTTCCAGCTTACCCGATCAGACCTCAAAGCCATGATAATCGTATCTCTCTGTTTCCCTTAATTAAATTCTCAACCTTCATGTTGTGTACGTGTGTGTTAACCTCTCACGCTAGTTTACAGAAAATCATAAACATGTTTTGATTTAACAATTGAATCAGGATTTGTTCGTTGGAGGAAGTGACACTACTTCAACAGCTCTGGAATGGGCCTTTGCAGAGCTCATGAAGAATCCAAGGGCAATGAAGAAAGCACAGCAAGAGGTGAGAAGAGTGATGGGGAATAAGTCAAAAGTGGAAGAAAATGATGTGAAACAAATGAAGTACCTGGAATGGGTGCTTAAGGAAACTTTAAGATTACATCCTCCCGTCGCGCTTTCGGTTCCAAGAGAGACAACTTCGGGTGTGACGTTGGGAGGGTACTATATTCCTCCAAAAACAACTGTATTTCTGAATGCATGGGGAATTCAGAGAGATCCTGAATTCTGGAAAAGACCAGACGAGTTTGAGCCGGAGAGATTTGAGAACAACCAAATTGAGTTCAAAGGTCAAGACTTTGAATTTGTTCCTTTTGGTATTGGAAGGAGGGGATGCCCAGGAATTTCATTTGGGCTTGCATCACTTGGGTACGTGTTAGCTAATCTTTTGTATTGGTTCGATTGGAAACTTCCTGAACCTGGTAAATTTGCTTATCAAGACATGGACATGAAAGAGACATTTGGGCTTACCGTCGTTAAGAAACTACCAATTTTTGTCCAACCAATACCGTACCATATGCCTATAGCAACTTAATTTTGATAACAAAGTTCGTGATTGGTGTTTCGGATTCGTGGTTTCAAGTTATTCTGAATAAAGTTTGCTGCTAAGTTTCTGTGTTTGGATTGTGCTCTTCCACCACACCAGTAATGTTTAATTTGGTTTACGATTGAATTGTAGTGAAAGTTGGATGTGGGATACTTGTACAGATATTTAGCTATTGGAATAATACAAACTTTGATCCTTGAAATTTACTCTTATTTTGATTTTGGTTCCTCAAGTTTCAAACTATAAGTTTTTGTCTCTCAAGATTTTTTTTTATTTAAAACATTAGTCCTTATAATCTAATAAAAATTTAGACCATTTTGCCCCTAGAGGGATCAAAACTTATGGTTTGAAACTTGAGGGACAAAAACAAAAAATGAAGACAAATTCAAGGGACTAAAGACTATATTAACCCTTAGTTATTTGTCCTTAAAATTACTACTTTTTTTTATTTTTAAATTTGGAGTTTCCTTGAGTCACTTTAGATTTTAGGCTATTTTCTATCAAGCATGAGTATTAAAGTTAAAATTCTCCTAACAAATAATACTTCTCAATATTCAAACTTATATTCTTTTCTTTACAGAGATGAAGCTGGTTATTATCTCAACCAATCATTAAAGTTACTGTTATGAATATATACATATGAACAATGGGCCAGAGGCTTCAATTGGGGTTATGAAAAAATATTGGGTATAAGCATGGCCTATAGGGTTTAAGATGGGGGACAATCCATTTGGAATTTTCGGACCCATATACATTCCTATGAATATATACGTATGAACATTTGCGTATGAATTTTCTAATAATTTTCATTAATCTGAATAAATCTTGCACAATTTTCATGTTCTACTGTGTTTATCGGGGGTGATCATTACAGTTACTTTATCCTTTTTTTCAATAATCTCTGAAGCTTATATTTTATTTCCAAATAACTGAAATACTTTATAATTTCCATGAAGCAATAGTTGTTTTTACTTAGTTTTTATTTATAAAGATAACTGTAGGTGGAGTAAGTCTTGCTTGGGAAAATAGTATCAAATAGACGAGGGCATTTTAGTTAAATAAAATGAGATGTTGTTGCCAATTTGTCGGTCGTCATGTTTATCATAAAACGAATAAGTATGCTAATTGGTTGGTTAAATTAGATCAGTCATAGACTCAATACTCATTTATTCATTTGTTCAAGTCGTAACGTCGAATTGGTTCAATGAGGTGCGTCGTGGCTTTGATATATACACTGTTTTTGTCTGTTTCGTACGTGTCGATGTTTTGTCTTTTCATCTTCCCCTTTCCCTTCCTCATGCAGCTCATGGCTTTTTATTTTTTATTTTTTCCTAAGAACAAGTATTCTCATATTTTGGAAGTAATTCTTTTCATGATCTTTTATTTCAACTTTCAGATCAAAACCATCTGGAAAGTAGAGACCGTGTACGCAGCGGGAAATGAGTTTGAAATCAGAGTCGTATGAAAAGGGAAGATGTTCTGTCATGGGCCGAATGCATTTATTGCTTTAAAAATGCCGCTAAAGCCACGCAAGAGATTACGGCGCATAACCTCTCTATTACGCAGCCTTTCCATTTAGCTTCCACTTAGATAAAATGGTGTTGTTTTGCAATTTTTTTTCAAAAAAAATAATTTACAGTTTTTTCCAATCCAATTGAGCGTTTATCGTTTCAGTCTCTTCAGTTCCTTATTCTTCCATGGCGGTGCTCTCTTCTTTCACATATCTCACTGTTGTTGGTGATAATTCGTGATTCCCTACCGTGATTCTCTTTATCCATTATGCTCTTCTATGATTCTCTTCACCTGTTATGCTCTTCTAAGTCTTCACCACCCATGGCCTTGTTCACTGTCACCCACCATCGCCCAGATCTGGCTTGTCGTAGAGAGAAGAGAGAGGGAAAGGTTCCATTTTTCCATACCCACTTATTTTATTTCTTACCCTTTAAAATGCTTTAATGCGTTCCTTTCCTTCACAAATTAGACCCCCTCTATCTCGGTTGCTTTATCTACAGCATTCTAAATAAGACATCTAATTTTCAAAGTGAACTGTCTTCGATGTTTCTTGCAACCCTAGTAATGCCTGCATAGTTACCTTTAGTTGGTGATCAAAGAGGGAATATCTTATTGCCACAGGACTCACAGGAGGTTGCATCTTTTAGTGTGTTTCATTATCGCTTAAGTGCCTGGTTGTTGAACAAAACGTTTTATTTGAATGGAGGCTACATGGAGAGGCTGCATAATGGAGAGGTTCCTTGCCGAAGAGATTACTATTTTGTTAATAATGATTGTGAACACTACTTATGAGAGGAGCCAATCATAAGCCGGATACTCAGCATGGCTTGGGGTGTTTAAGATAATATAAAAGTGATTTTAAAAAGATTTTTTTTAAAAAACGAATCAAAATTCTTCGCATATTTACTTCGTGTAACATGAAAGTACTTTTAAAATTATAATTTTAATTCAATCCAAACACTCTCTTAGTGGAAGAGTGTGTTATTATATATTTTTCTGGTTCTATTTATAAGGCAAAGAGAAAAGATAATTTTTGATCCTATTTATAGGATACTAACAGAAATTTTTTGTATAAAATTACAATTTTACATTTCATTTATTATTATATTGACTTTGTTTATATGAGACATAATATATATTAAATAGGGATAAAATTAGAAAATTTTTGAATTTTAAATTAGAGTTAATAAAGTTAAAGATTTTTCTTAGTCTGTGTGAAACATTTTAGAAGTGACTTACAAATGGGACCAGAAGAGTATTGATCAGCCAGTCTTTTCACTCTGGACTTTTTTTTTTTCAATTTTTTTAAAAGTATTATTGGTTACTAAATATGAGTTAATAAGGATTCAACATTGTGAGACTATCCCCTGTGCTACAACCAACACCGACTCCGCTACTCATTGTACTATTATTATTATTTTTTGTGTTGATAAAACCTGTGTTATTTATGTCAATAATGCGATTCCCTATTTAAAAAAAGGGATAATTGCAATAAAGTCCCACTTAGGAGGAATTAAATACAAAAAGATCTCTTAAAATAATCAAATTATTCTTAAATTCCTAAAAATCTTATTGTAATAAATTTTATTTGTTTAATTACTAAATTGTTTTTTTAAGTTTGTATTAACAACTAAAAAACAATCATTAAAAACTTAAGATGTAAGGATTAACAACTATTGTGACAAGTATTGACAACATATTTTCTTAAGATCACATCACGGAATGTAAGGCATAAGTTGTCAATATCTGCCGTGATAGTTGTTAATCTTTATACCTTAAATTGTCAACGACTGTTCTTTCAGTTGTCAATGCAAATTTTTTTTAAAAATAAAGACAATTTAGTTATTAAACAAATAAAATTTATTGCAACAAGGCCTTTTAAGACTTAAGAATAATTTGATATTTTAGGGATCTTATTGCAATTTTTTTAATAAAAAATGCGTCCTTGACTGTCTGTCAATGTCAGTATCTCTTTGCTTCTAGATAATGATCGATCAATGAGACTAATTATTGATTTAGGTTGATCCTCTAAAACTAGCTAGGCTCTTTACTCATTGTACTATTATTATTCGTGTTGTGATGGCGCAAGAATTCTTTTGTGCTGATAAAACCTGTGTTGACTAAAAAGGACGAAATAAAATTATGTACAAAATTTATTTTTATGTAAATGTATTTCAGCTTGGTTTTATATTTGTAGTATAGTACATACAATTAATTTCAAATCACAAAAAATTCGACACTCGATTCTTGTGCGACTGTGCATTTTGATTAGAAGAGCTGCCGATATGCATGGGAGAAATTCCTACAAATTAAAATAGTTCAGGTCTGCTCATCATTCGTAATATTTCTATTCATTGATTAAAATAATTAGATAATGTTTTGCAGTTTTTCCAAAAAATAAAAAAATAAAAAGAAAGAATCTTTGGGGGCCCCAGAGTTGGAAATTGGGACGCGTCTCAGTCACATGCACTTATGAACGGATATGGGACATCGTTGGAGTAATCACCCTTTTAAAGTCAGATGATTAGCCGTATTATAATTGATCTCAAATCAAATTGATGAGCCGACAAGTAATTTGGATTCATTCAGAATTAGCATAAAGTATGAATATTAAGAGAATCCCCATACGCAAATTGATCGCCATGTTCACTTTTATTTAATGTTGGCTGTATTTTTTTTCTTTATTATTCTTAACATATTTGCAAGCATTGATGGGTTCAAACTACTCATCTCTTTTTATAAGCAATATTCTCTTTTTTTGCAGTGATATCCTTAAATGTAACAAATAAATTCTTTTTATCTGAAATTTTAAACCTGTCTTTTCACTGTTATCCTGATTAAATATAGGGAAAATTTCACCGTAAGACCGCAGAAGACAATTAATTTCAAAGAGCCCCCAAAACTTTCTGAAATTTCACTGCAGGACCAAGGGGGCAAACTGATATTAATTCCACAAAGAAAATGACCCTATTGCCCCTCATGTGAACAAGTATGGGAGAACCCATTTGCAAGTGAGGTTAGATAATTTACAACATGCATAAATATATTTACAATTAAAATTAGTCCATTTACATATTACCTTCTTCACCTGAAGAATGTGTCTAAGTGAACAAGTGTGGGACAGCCCATTTGCAAGTGGGACTAGACAATTTGCAACATACATATATTTATTTACAACTGGAATTAGTCCATTTACATGTCACTTCCTTCACCTGAAAAAGGTCTAAGTGAACAAGTGTGGGAGCGCCCATTTGCAAGTGGAATTAGTCAATTTGCAATATACATACATTTATTTACAATTAGAATTAGTCCATTTACATATCACCTCATTCACCTGAAAAAAGTGCCTGTGAGTGAATAAGTATGAGAGAACCCATTTGCAAGTGAGCCTAGTAAATTTGCAACATACATACCTTTATTTACAACTGAAATTGGTCCATTTACATGTCATCCTGCAGTGAAGTATTATGAGGGGCAATAGCGTCATTTTCTTTGTGGAATTAATATCAGTTTGCCCCTTGGTCCTGCAGTGAAGTTTCAGAAAGTTTTGGGGGCTCTTTGAAATTAATTGTCTTCTGCGGTCCTACAGTGAAATTTTCCCTTAAATATATGTCGCTTATTATTTATTTGTAATAATGTTAATTTATTATTTTTATGTACTTTTTTTATAAATAAGAGTATAATTAAAAAAATGTATA